CAACTATACACTGGCGAAGTTTCAGAAGCAATGAGTTCTGTACAACATTTCGTGTAACAACAAACTTCCACTATGCTCGGTGAGTCTCGATTTAACGGACCTCGATTTAGTATTAGCGGATTTAGGGGTTTAACGGATAAATTTTCAAAACCAAATTTTTCTATCACTATAATTATTTTATCTCGATTTAACGGATTTAACGGATTTTCATATATTATTAATGGATGGTGAAGTAATAAGGATGAGTAGATGCCTTAAAAAGAGAAACCGAACCAATAAGAGAACCTTCTACTACTGGGATCATAATATGCCTCTTTGCTGGAAAACCTATCTCAACATGTTAGGGTTGTTTGAAATATAAGAAATCATCTGACATTACGTTAGGAGTTCATGGCAATATTAGAAAATGTCCAGTGAAAAACAAAAACGATAATTGACAAATATTGCTGCTACTGCTGTAAAGGACTTTCTCGAAAATTATGCTGAAGTTCATTGATTACCAAGCCTAGGAAGAAATGTAAATGGAATTTATATTCTTCCCGGCAAAAATGAACCGTAAATCGTCCATCAAGGGTTTCTTGTTGACCTGGAAGAAAATAGAAAGGATGATGCATTGTGATCAAAATTATTAGCGCATTTGTGTGATACCTCTCAATCTTTTCGCAATATAAAATAGAAACTAAAAAACGTCTATCAAAAGCAAAATTAGAAACAGTCATTATAACAAAAATACTAAATTAGCAGAACAGCAAAGAAGAATTATTATTTGATAATGGGTGGCGAAACGTACCACAGTATCGATGTTATTTTGGATAAAGGTGAAGATTACATTAGTGATTTGTAATTATTACAAAATGTGATGATGTTTTCACTATTTGATATTAAATGAGTAATTTTAGCCAACATCTATGATTGGATGTATTATGAAGTTTAAGTGATCCAATAGATTTATATTGTATATTTAAAAAATTATTCTTTTCTCTGACAGTGCTGTCTGTGGATTTTATGGATATTTTATTGCCTTACCTATAAAAAGTAAATGAGTAATCTAAAATTATAATTTACGAAGTCTATTTCTTTTTATAGAAAATTATGATGAAATATTTAATGGGTAGACAAATAGACAAGAATATGAAAAGCTTATAATAATACAAATTTGAATTAGCAGAAAAATAATATCAGGAATCTCTTATTGAGAGGATATAACAATCCCAAAAACTATATACTATAGTTAAATTCAGAAAAGGAGTTCAAGAGAACTCAAAGGCCATTTAAGAATCAAAGAAATCGATCCTCATTTAGATTTTATTGGGAAAATGAATAAAGAAAGATTAGGAAAAAGAGCCAAGAAATAGCCATCTTAATGGAAAAAACGAAAAATAAAGTCATCTTGATTACTAAATTGCAAAAGTCAATAGTGAATAATAAAAATGATGAGATAACAATCAGTGAATCAACAAAATAAGGATAGGAATAATATGAAAGAAAATAAAAAGGTTTAGAAAATAATCTTGAAAATAAACAAAGCAAGAAAAAGCAAGAAAGGCAATCAATCAACTATTAGAGAATGATACTGAAACAGCAATTAAAAAGTTAGAGAAGCAAGTAACTGAAATAACCAAATAGAGTTAACAAAGAAAAGTGAAGGCCAGAACAATAAGTAGTATTAGCGTGAATTTATACTAAATTTTGATGGTCTGCATAAAATTCTTGATAAAATTTATCAATATTAAGTAAATTATTCAAGTATCACTGACAACAAGTATAACAAACAGTAGCACATTGTCTTGAGTTTCATGATATTTTAATATTACTATTTTTTTTTTGAAAAGATTTTCGATAGATAACGGTTGTTCTGTGACCAATAAAGAGATAATTGAAGAACGTATCAAGATTATAATTCATTTGAAGTGATGAGATTGATGAAATAATGAGAGAGACAACCGAAAAAGATTTATAATACAAAGCTATATTTTATTCGTTTTATTTATTTATTTGAAGTGGTTATGATGATGATGATAAGATGTTATTAGTAAGTAGATTGAGAAGAATAATCGATTTATAAGATGTGCGTGTATGTATGTATGTATGTATGTATATTGAATTATCGCAGTAATTGTAAAGAACAATGTTTTGTTCACGTGACAATGAAATTAAGATTGACTGACAATCGATAATTTCAGGTAAAACTTTTACCTCAATTAATTACAATAGAAAAAAGGTTATATTATTATTGTTGTTATGTTGATTTTACTAATATTGTGTTTTCAAAGGCGGCAATAAATAATAAAATCCAGGCAACTTGACTACAATTCTGACAACAATAATTTTAAATTTTTTCCAAAAGAATGGTATACTTGATATATAAAAAGAATATCAATCAACATCTTGATATAATGTGTGTAAGAAAGAAAAGAATATGTAGGCTCATGTGCGTGGCTCAGGAAAAATAAGAATTCCCAATTTATTTTTTGGAGGTTGGAATTTGAAAATCACTAAGCCACATGACCAATGTAGCTATAATGAATGACACACAAAAATATATAATAAGGTTCTGTCTGTATTCTATTTCTAGAATTTTACATTAGAGAGGAAAATAAGAGAGAATAAGTTTAAAAGAATAAATCATTGTTTTGTTTTGATGGAAAGAAATGATTTTTTGTTGGTGAATTTTGGTGATTTATTTAGAGAATTTGGATGATTTTGTTGGTTTGATAGTAAAATTAGTATTATGCATGATACATTTTATTTGTATAATAAATATTATTACAATATATTATTAAAATAGAGATAATGTAAGTAATATGATTTGCTTTAAATGATTGTAAAATAAAGTAAAAATAAGTAGCACATTTACTTGGAAGAAGGATACACATATGTTAATCACGTATAAATATATAAATTAAAATAATTATGTAACACTTTAATATAAATTTTGTATGTATGACACACATAAATAATGTTTTTATTTTTAGATTTATTGTGGGATTTTTTGTTTTCGGCCGGACGGCCGGAATTTATATTAAAATCAATCTTATTTAAACTGATTAATTTGATTAATTTAGAACTATAATAAAACTTAATTTAATTAGTCAATGAGTCGAGTCGAAATTAAAGGGAAAATTAAATACGAAAAATCAATATAGTCATAATCATATAATTAATTTAAATAGAATGTTGATGATGTAAGGATGATGGGTTTAATAATAGTTAATTTTTGTAAGGTGATTGATGATAATTCGGAGTTGTGGGTATAAATGGTCGGTCACATTATACATATTATAAAATTAGAAAAATCTATATATTAGTGACTGCGGATAGATTAATGAAATTTTATTGGTTATTGTGATCAATTAATGATGATATGTTATATGTTTGAGTGTAATGATTTTGATTAATTGGTTATTTGATTTTATTATTATTATTATGTATTGTATATAATAATATACAACAAAGAGTGAGAGATTATTTCTGTGGAAACAATAATGATCTGACGAAGATCAACAAAACTTATAAAAAATATAATTTGTTTTGTGCTGCTTTTTCTTTTCGTTTTATTTTATTTTTCTCTCTGAAACATCATCTTCATTATCATCATCATCTCTTTTTTCTAATTAATTAAAAATTTCTTTACCAAATAATTTTATCTAAAGGAAAAATAAAATAAATATAAAAAATTTTTTATTTTCTCTTTCACATCTCTCTTTCTATTTAAAACAATTTTTTATCAAACTTATTCCGTTTTATCTATTATCTATTATCTATATCTATTTATAATAAATATATTGTATCTACATCTATATAAATTATTATCACATAATTTTTTTATCTTTTATATAATAAATTTTATCCCAAAAAATCTAAATAATCTTCTTTGGATTACTTTACACATAATTGAAAAAATATGTTGGCTTTAAATCATTCGCTAAGTTACCAGAAACAAATAGTTGAAAGTTATTTAAGTAAGTAAAATGGTAAAGAATAACTGTTAAAAGGTTTATTTCTTATATATTATTTAAAAGAATATGTATATATGTATATATATATATATATTATTCATTTTACATATATTATTCATTTCTCATCTTTTATTTCATCTTTTATTTCGTTTTAGTTTCTTCACGTCGCAACTCATTTGAGTCAACTGCTTCGACTGAAACAGCATCATCACAAAATTCTCCAATATCAACAACTCCACCTACACCTAGTGAATTTGATAATAACCATCACGCACCTGATATTCGTACGGCTGTTAATATACTTGCTTCTGTTCATTCATCGAAACTTCACAAGGGAAATAATAGTAATAATAACAATGACTCAACTTCTACCAGTTCTTCTGGAAACTCTCTTATTAATAATCATCATAAAGTAACTAAAAGAACATCTTCTAAACCACCTCGTCAATTACAATGCTTTAACTGTGGTATTAAGAATACTCCTCTTTGGCGGAGGACTCCAGATAGAATGCATTCGCTTTGTAATGCTTGTGGTTTATATTATAAACAATATCATGTTCACAGGCCGCTTCACATCATACACAAGACAAGAACTTCATCATCTAAATCATATCCATACATTTTACCAGCAATGAAAGGTGAGGATGATGACACTGATGCCATGATGGATGATATGTCAGATATGTCATCTGAACATCTTGGCCATGAATCAAATTATGATGATTATAGTTTGGACAGAAATTGTGTTGAATCTCCGATATACAGTGGCGCTAACTCGATCGAAACCCAAAACACCACCCCCATTTTATCACCTACTTTACCGCCATTAATATCATCACCATCTTTATCATTGTACGCTCCATTATCTTCAATATCTCCAATACCACAATTGCCAAATACATCATTCACACCATCTCCATCATCTCCATCACTATTATTATTGCCAACGTCATCATCATTTGAAACACCACCATCAATATCCTCAATATTAAATACTACAAGGATATTACAAGAAGCTTCATCCCCTACAAAAACTCCCAACTCACCAACCTTAGCTCCAACATCTAATACTAATACTAATACTACTAATACTGGTAATAGCAATAATAATAGTAATAATAAATCTAACAATACTGACAATAATAATAATAATAACAATAATAAATCTAATAATACTGACAATAATAATAATAGTAATAATAGTAATAATGATAAATCTAATAATACTGAAAATAACAGCAGCAGTAACAGCAACAGCAACAGTAACAATAATGCCACCACCACATCCAATACTACTACACCTCTTTCTTCATCTATATTATTAGCAAGTGATATGCAAATACAATGTGCGAATTGTGGTCAAACCCAAACACCACTTTGGCGAAAAAATGACAAGGGACAACCACTTTGTAATGCATGTGGATTGTATGCTAAATTACATAATAGAGACAGACCTATTGCTATGAGAAAAGCAAAGATTCAACGTAGACGTAGAGACTGGAATAAATATAATCAGTTGGATGAAGGTTCGACTGAAGAAATTGAATCACCCCCTGCATCTTCATCTTCCCCAAGAACTGCTTCAACTCCACCATCATCATCTACACCAATCACATCTTCATCTTCACCTTCTAACATTACTGCCACTACTACATCATCATCATCAACTATGCCGTATCATCCTTATCTAAGACCATTAGTGAAAAAAGTTTCACCGTCACCAGATATTGCTGCACAGGCTCTTTTGATTTTAGCGACTGCTGCTGCAAGTGAGCGTGAACAACAATTGATCCAAAAAGAGAAGGAAAAAGATAGTGATGGTAATGATAGTAGTAGTAATAATGATGATAATAATAATAATAGCAGTAATAATAGCAGTAATAATGATGTTAATAACGATGTTAATAGCGGTAATAATAATAGCGGTAGCAATAATAATGATGTCGGTAATAATGATAGTAGTAGTAGCAATAGTACCAATAGTAATAACGGTAATAGTACCAATGGTAGTAACAGCAGTAATAACAATCTTTCAGAATTTATTTCACCGCCATTTAATAACCAAAACGATTTACAATTTAAAAATTATGTTGATCAAATGTCTAAAAAGCAAATACAAGATTGTTTAATGATGTTAGAGCAAAGGTGTAATATTTTGAAATCTGCATTAGTTAAAGTGGAACAACGTCAAGATGGGGATAAGATGGAAGTGGATAAAGAGGAGGAAAAAGGTGATGAAGGCAATCATTCATAGTAATATAATTATTTGATAATTATTGAAGATTGATTAGTTTGATGGTATATATATTTATTGAAATTTTGGTTAAAATTTGACTTATTTTTTTTAAACACTACTACATATGAACATTTATTTTATCATTATATATATATTATATATACAATTATGGACCATTTTTTTAGTTAAATATATAAATATATAAATAAATATTCACTTTATTTTAATTTTTAATTTTTTTTATCAGAAATTGATTATCCCAATTTTTGATTATAATATATTTTTTTCTTAATAAAATAGATTTTTTTTTTGCTAATATTTTTATGATTATCTATAATTTTCCCACAATAATAATACAATTAATATATATACATATATATAACAAAAATAGAATAAGAATTTTATTATATATAAATATAAATATAATAATATTTTAGAATATAAATATAATTTTTTAATTTTAATTTTAGAAAAACTAATTAATAATAATAATAATAAAATTTATACAGTATATTTTTTACATGTAACAACACATTTATGGAGAAAACTCTATAAATATCCATATATGTAATGTAATATATGCGTTGTATGTGCATAATATGTGTATGATATCATTATAAGAAAAAGACCTTTACTATGAAGAATTTTTTGTCAATTTTCAATCTAAAAATATTTTATACCAAATAACAATATAAAATAAATCGCTTCTCTTGTAGTACAATTTCATGATTTACACAAGTGATTGGGTAAATGAATGAAATGAAATTTATTATGATTAAAAACATACATTTATCCACAAAAAGTAAATTATAATAAATAAATCACAATTTACCAACGCAGGAGCCAATGACTTTATCAATTATGTAAATTAATCTACAAACCAGGGCTGGGAAATAGTACTTTAATAAAAAAAACTGATATTTTTCCTTTTTTTTTTTTCCGTAAAATTTTTAAAAAAATATTTTCTGGAAAATTTCTTAGCATTTTCATATTCAGGAGAAATTTCTATTCAGATCCCCATTTCCAGCCAGTCCTGAAATCAAAAATTAACCCCTATTTTCCAATTATAATTCTTATATTTATTATTGATGATCATTTGACCTACTCATTTGACCAGAAATTTTATAAAAATAGGAATGAAATATAATATAATAAATGAATATAATATAATAGTTGTTTTCTTTTTATGTGTGTGTATATTTATTGTTTATTTTTTGTTATTATAACTTTAATTATTATTATTAATTATAGGTTGAATAAAGAAAGATAAAAAGGAAATTTTAATTAAAAAGTGTAAAGATTAATTATTATATTCAATCTCCCAATCGTATGTATGAATCATTTTGATTGGACAAGTGTATCAATTTGATTGGCTTGGATATAATAGGTTGTTGGATTTGTTTTGATTTGATCGAATCGGATTGGAAACGGTCCATGATGGATAAATTTATTGAAAACTTCTAGTAAATTCTTGAAAAATTTTCATCAAAAATCTATTTAATCAATCGATCAAAAATTTTTATTTTAAAAAAAATAATAATCCATCTATTATTTCTTTTCCAATAAAAATGCCTGTTCGTACCTATTTTGATATTGAAATTGATGGTCAACTTGAAGGTCGAATAGTTTTTGAACTGGTAAAAATCAATGAATATATATGTACATGTGTGTGTGTGTGTGTGTGTGTATAAAATAAAAAACCTATTTTTTATTAGTTTGATGATATAGTACCAAAAACTGCGGAAAATTTCCGTGCGCTTTGCACAGGTAAAAAATAATAAAATAATGAAAATAATGAAAAATTCATCCAATAAAATTCCATACATATTAACGATCGATGGTTTTAATTAAATAGGCGAAAAAGGTACTGGCGCTTCTGGAGTTCCATTACACTATAAAGGATGTATATTTCATCGTGTGATCAAGGTAATAAATAATAATGATGAGGATAAATGCTTTCTTATAGGGAGAATGTGAAATTTATGTTAATTAATAATTTGTGATAGGAATTTATGGTTCAAGGTGGTGATTTTACATTAGGTGATGGTAGAGGTGGTGAAAGTATTTATGGAGAAAAATTTGAAGGTAAAGTAAATTCAATATATATATATTCACTAGTGAATGGGTGGGTGATACTTACCAATTTTTTTTTAAAAAAAATTTTAAAACAGATGAAAATTTTAAATTAAAACATGATCAACCATTCCTTTTATCAATGGCAAATGCTGGCGTTAACACTAATGGCTCTCAGTTTTTTATCACCACAGTGGTAATTTGATATTTTAAATATTATTCATTCTAAAAACAAAGCAGATCTACGCACATACATATAAGTAACCTTTTTAATAATAAACTTGTTTTAAAAGAATACTCCACATTTAGATGATAAGCATGTAGTTTTTGGCAAGGTTTTAAAAGGAAAGTCAGTTGTTAGAGCCATTGAAAATATTCCAGTATCAGATGATAAACCAACAAAAATTGTTAAAATTGTTGATTGTGGCGAACTAAAAGAAGGTGAGGATGATGGCATACAAGAACCTGTTGATGGTGATATTTATGAAGATTGGCCAGGTAAATAAAAATAAATGAGTACATATGTATATGCATGTATATATATATATATATTGTATAGGAATGTATATGCATGTATATATTGTATATGAAAGTATATTAAATGACTAATGTTTTTGTTATAAAAAAAATAATTATTACTATAGTTGATTATTCTGAATCCAAAGAACCAAAGGATCTACTTGAAATTGCTAAAAATATAAAAGAAATTGGAAATTCTTATTATAAAAAGTCAGAATATGAAAGTGCAATTAAAAAATACACAAAGGTAAAAAAAAAGTATAAATTATATAAATTATTATTTAATTGTTTTATTTTTTTATTTTCTTACTTTTTTAAATATTATTATTTTAGGCAATTCGCTATCTTAATGAGAAAATATTAGATGATACAGACGACCCACCTGAACTAAAAAAAGAATTTCATTCACTAAAAATTTCATGTTACTTAAATAAAGCAGCATGTTCATTGAATTTACAACATTATCAAAATGTAATAAATGATGTTAATATAGTGTTAGAAATGCCATCCGAATACTTATCAACAACTGATAAAGTTAAAGCGTTATATAGACGTGGCACAGCATATAACGGCTCGAAAGATGAGGAAGCAGCTTTAGAGGATTTAAAAGAAGCTAATAAATTAAATCCAAAAGATTCAGCAATTCTAAAAGAATTACAAATAGCTAAACAAAAAATCGTTGCTAGAACAAATGCTCAAAAGAAAGCTTATAGTAAAATGTTTAGTTGATTGGTTGAGTAATTAAAAAAATAAAGTAAGAAGAAATAAACAAATCATATATTTATCATTTTTAATTGTTTTTTGACTGTTTTTTATTATTGATTTCAATTAAAAATATACTTTGCAATGACCTAATATGGTCTTTTTCTCCTATTTCATCTTCTACTACAGTTTCCATTGGAATATCAACGGTGTATTTTTCAAAATTAAAGTCAAATGATTTAAGTGGAATTAATTTTGCTTCCAAGTTCCATTTATCTAAATAATGTTGAATTGTTCTTTTTGAGCTATTATTTATTTATTATTAAATAATAATATAAAGTATTAAAGTGTTATTTTTCACGAAATAGATAAATTTATAACTTGATATAGATATTTAAGTGTTTGTAAATCTACCTTCTTTCTTGATACGAAGTAATAAATTTTGCATTAGGTGAATGATTTGTTAATATATAAGATATTGTTACTAGAAGATCTTCAAAATCTTTTTTTGAGAAAAAAGTCTATTTAATAATAATAATAATAGTGATGTCCTGTTAATTTTTCCTTTACCTTTTGGATCATAAAATGTATCACTTCCTAATATCCAATCTATTTTTTTGTTACAAGTCTCCAAGTCGTTTAATATATTTAATAGGCCACCATCTTTTCCACCTAATTCATTCAAATAATCATCACCATCATCACCACTACTGCAAAATTCACCCCAAATTAAATCTCTTATCCAAACATTATTATTATTAGCCTTATGTGAAATCAATCGAGTTTTTTCTCTCATTATGGTTGGAGAAGAATAACGAAAGCAAGGTGATAGATCATTTAATATTAATCCATCAGAAATATTTTGTAAAATTTTTGATTTATTAGATCTACCATCATCCGTTAGTATTATCAATGATTCGGATGATAATAAAGCACACAAGTAACCTGGTAATGAAGTCCCTGAACCTAACTAGGTTTATTATATATAATAATATGCGTATTATAAATTATAAAGTAATATTAAAGCAATGAATTTAATTTGTTTAAAATTGAATAATTGCTTACTTCCAGAATAGTTTTATCTTTAAATAAATTTCTTTTATTCCAAATATATTCTGCCAATACAAATGAAGAAGGCCATACATAACAACCATAAGATGGATGATATAACTAATATCATTAATTATTTATTGATATTTTATTTCTTATATAATATAAATGTAAAAAATACTTACTTGTTTTATTATAACTTCTAATTGTTCATTATTTTTGTCATCATTGAAGTAAAAAGTTTTTGTTGAAGTCATTTTATTTTGTGCAACTATAGAAACACGCGAGCAAGCTTTTGATAAATTTTCCAATGTGGGTCACAGTCCGTTGCCTTTAACAAAAAAATACGCGAGAAAACTGTCCGGTGTTGCTGTTCCCAAATAAACTTTTGACATTATTTTTAAAAAAATGGCAGTAGCATTGGCAGGCGCGGTAGCAAATACTGTAGGGTATCCGAAACACAAATATGTTTAAAGATCAGATCATTGATTGGGAAGACGTGGTCTTTTCAAAAATGAGAAAAATCATCAATTCGCAAACGAGAAGTTTACTAAACGACTTACTAAACACATTTGTTGTCCATACTAACTCCAAACTGTACAATAAAAGAACAATATTTTTTGTTAAATGAAATATCCTGCGTCTATGTGCTGTATCACTGATGATAACAGATCGTCAGGATCCACTAATAAACAATGGCTTGAAAAACTAATAATAGCGTCTCGCTCACATCAAAAATTGATATCGTGGAACTTTATACAACCAACAAATATTTACCTTGAAAATCCCTAATTCTGGCGAGTAAATTATTAACCAATTATAAAATATTATGAGTTACGATATTTGAATATAAAACTAACAACTCAAAATAATATCAAGATAATAGTTGTTTCTTTTCCGTTATGGCGATGATGATAATAGTAGTAATAGAAGTAATTGATATCTTCTTTCTAGTAGTAACAATGATAGTAGAATATACTAATAATCATAGTAGTAGTAATAATATATAACAATTATTAACTTATATCATCTTTGTTAAAAGGAAATATCTTATTTATAATTTACAGACAGTTGAAAACGATCTTTATGTTCTATTGAGCCTGAAAAATCATTATTAATGAAGAACAATACAGTGACGATAATAATCTGTAATTAATATTTAAACATAGCTTCGAATAAAAAAGAAAGTGAAAAAGAGAAAGGAACGTCAGAATATTTGGTTTTTGTAAAACATCTGTTCCCAACAAAAGACTTTTTCTGAAACAAGAAATCAAATGACCTCTAAAAGATCAAACTTAAATCCGAGCTCACTAAAATATAAAAATCTTGTTAATAATTTTCAAATTATATAACAAAACTTAATATTTTAAAACAGAATGGAATAAATTGAATAAAACGAATAAAACGTGTATTATGAATAAATCGAATAAGAAATTGTATTAGAAACCGTTGGCTAAACGAGTATACTGGGTGAGAATTGCGCCAAATTCACGGATATATCAAGGAAAACGCATTATTTTCGTTCCCATTGTTATTTTATTGCTTTACAACATTCCTCGGAATAAAAGCTAGTCGAAATATTAACTTGCAATGAAAAAGTTAAAATGCTACACGGTCAACTTGTACATCGAGACGGTGACGCACTTCTTTGGATCAAAGAAATGAAGAAACAGGTGATACTATTATCAGAGTTGGCACTCCCGTCAGACATATCAATGGACATAATATTAATATGACTGTACCATAAATTCGTAAAGAAATTACGAAATTATCTAGTTTTGTGTAGGAAGTTCCTTCACTTAAATCACATTTTGTGCTGTTGTCACCTGCAAGATGGACATCATTAGCAAAGGATTGATCAATATCAACAACTAGAAAACTTTCTTCAGACCCAAGGTGTCTTTTGCATTCTTCTTTTTGTATTGATAATCCTATTAGCAATTGAGGCTTCATATTTTTACATGGACGGCAAACTGCAATTTTATTTGTCTTGTTTGCCTGTTTATCTTTGGAAAAATGATAATTTTTATTTAGGTAATGATATACATGGGTGGACATTGGAAGGAGTCATTGCCAACTCAATCTAAATTAAAAATTTGTGTCAAAAAAGGAAACAAATTTTACTTTTGTATTTAAAAATTTTAAGGGGAGATTAATAAATTAAACTTAAAATGAATAATTTTATATCAAATTTGAACTTTTCAATTTTTCAACCAAAAATGAATTTTTTAGGATTGTAAAGTTTTCTCCAACTTTTTAATTTTTTTATAAATTATTATTATTTGATTAATTATATTAATACATTTCACCAATAATCTTCAAAAATTAAATAGGTCCAATAAAAATAAAACTTTAAGGACAAAAAAAAACATACCAGAAGGTACAAAACAATTTCAACTTCAAAAATATGCAGAAGCAACTCTTGGTTTAGGAAATTTAAAAGTCGCTGTAGCATTACCTGAAGGTGAAGATGTTAATGAGTGGTTAGCTGTTAATAGTAGGTATCATTCATTCCTTCCTCCATTAAAATCAATAATTGGATAACATGTTAATTAATCTCTTGTGTGTACATATATATAGCATATGATTTCTTAAATCAAATAAATATGTTATATGGAACAATCACTGAATTCTGTACACCACAAGAATGCCCTGTAATGTCTGCTGGAGCAAAGTAATAGAATTGATTAATTAGCCTTTAAAATATTTATAAATATTTAATTAAAAAAGTATCATTGTTATTATTGTTATTAGATTTGAATATCATTGGTCTGATGGAGATAAATTTAAAAAACCAGTAAAATTATCAGCTCCAGATTACGTTGACCATTTGATTGAATGGGTTCAAAATCAACTTGATGATGAATCAATATTTCCAAGTAAAATTGGTAAGAAAATAGATAAATAATTCATTCATTCATCACATAAACAATAAATTAATAATACAATTAATAATTCTAGGTGTCCCATTTCCTAAAAATTTTCAAAATGTTGTTAAAACAATTTTCAAACGACTATTTAGAATTTATGCACATATTTATTTGGCACATTTCTCTGTTATTGTTGCTTTGGGTGAAGAGGCTCATCTGAATACAAGCTTCAAACATTTTATTTATTTTATACAAGAATTTCAACTAATTGAGAAAAAAGAATTACAACCTTTGTCTGAATTAATTGCCAGTCTAACAAGCCAAGATCAAATCTAATGGTGCTAATGATATTAGTAATGATAATGATAATAGTGATAGTAATAATAATAATAATAATGATGATGATGATTACAAGTATCAAGTAATTTAATATTTGTATAAATAATATAACATTATTATATATAGATTTCATAATAGACTATTTTTGCTGCATGAGAATTCCAAATTTTTTAATAAAAAAAAGTTAGGTTGTCCTTTTTGCAAATAATAACAAACTGAGGGCATCTGGTGGTGCGGTCCGTATATGGTCAATCCGTTCATATACGGATTGATGGATGGCTTTTTAAAAAGCCAACAGATTACGGATGTCCAAAAAAACCTTACTCGGATCACCCATCAGGCAAACCCACAGGTCACCCGGAAATGTCCTGTGACTGCTAACCTGTTTTTGGAAATTGACATTTTGCACTTTGTCAAATAAGCATAATAATAATAGCATGACTTGCATATCAAGTGAAAGGTTTTCCTCATAAAAATTGCAAATAGTTATCGTGGTTTTCTATTCGAAATAAATTTATTACTCGAACACGTCGCGATTTTGTGTTTTTTTTTCGAAATGCTCAAATCCCGTCAAGTGGACAAATTGAAAATCGGTTCCCTTCGTCCTTTCTTTACTTTGCTTTTAAACTTAGGTTATAAAAACATTTTGAGATTTTTTCATCTCTAGATAATAATTTTTGACTTTCACTAAATTCTTTTCCTTTGTTTACATATTTTATTATTGCTATGATAATAAATATTTTAGTATTACAGGATAATCCTCGTTTCAACGGATTGGGACATATAAGAAAATTTCATTTAGAATTCGTTGAAACGAAATTATCATTACTAATCGCGTTTCAACTATTTTTATGTTTTCATAATAATAATAATAATAATAATAATAATGTGATTGTTATGACTATAACGAAATTGTTGTAATTATGCTTGGAATAACATACTAATACTAATACTAATATTAATATTAATCTGTCCGTTCATCTCTCGTTCGATGCAACGATAATTATGATCATTGCTACTTGAACTAGATTTATTATTATGATCAATGTCCATTTAAACTGAAAACATTAAAATTCTGACATATTTCCACGATGATTTTTTGATATAGAAAAAGGATGTATTGCAACAACGTATTGGCGTGTGAAATTAACCCGGATAATGCTGAAGATGCAGACAGGGAGTTAGAGTGACTTGGAGTCGGCAAGTTTTATTTTAACTTGGATCAAACTTCTATCGTTATCATAGAAATGAAATATACATCACATGGCTAGTTAATATAACATTTAAATGTTTCAAATTGTTGGTCACTGAAAAAATATTCCAAGGAAATTTATTTATTAATTATTTAACTGACACGAGAAAGAAAGTGCAAATTAATATAGGTTTAAAAAGGTTGATTTAAGAAATTATAGTAAACAATGAAATTATTTTTATCAGATCTCCTTAGCGTTTACTACATCATGTTCTACCGCGTACTTTTTTTTTAACTCTGTGATTGATTTTCCAACAAAAAAATATAAAGGAGCCTTTGCGGTTCTACCTATATCACGATTGTTCTTTTGTTTATCTTCTTCGAGAATTTTTATTTCGAGGTCATTTAAACTAGTAAAGCTTTTTTTTCCAGAGATGTCAGAAATGATAGTAATTTTTCCCTTGTCGTCAATATCCTCAATCTGAACAAAGTTGTGCATATTCAAAATTAAAGACGTGCCATTTAATGATGTATTAAATGCAAATGTCAAACACAAAGTATGGAAGATTTTAAGAAATATTTTATGATGAAAACCTTGCATCCATAGATAACAGTATCGCCATGTGCTGTACTTCTATAATAAAGTAATGGGTCATTACGTTTGATATATCCACTGGTGTATAATTGATATAATTTTACTTCTGCAGACTTGTTGGCATTTTGAGCTGGATCAAGATCTGTGTAATATTGCAAATGATCTTTTATTTAACCCTTGTTCCTTGCTAGCGTTTACCTGTAAATAAAATTAATTAATTACCTGGTGTGTCGTTTGTAGACAATTTGGACATGTTAGCAACCAAGTTTCCAATTTCTTTACCGACTACAAAAGTATTTACATAAAACCACCTTAACTTCTGCGAATAAAGCCTACCCTTGAGACATAATAACTTTTTAAAACCACAATGCTTTTATTTACTCACTTTTATCATCTTCTTGTCGCTCTTTGTTTAGTTTTCCAATTGTCTCGGCTATTTCTAACGCAACTCCGTGTGGGAATTCGTAGAAGCCCGGTTTACGAGAAAGCATTTCTTCCGTCAATAGAAGGAAAGATATGCCATTAATTTTTTGTTGTTCAAATTTTTTACGCACATTATTTTCTTCAACAAACGATTTTCCCTTCTGCTTCTCTAGATAAGTGATGATATTTTCTAGATTCCAATCTTTAGGGTTAATTGGTAATGAAGACATGATTTTGCAAGTGAGGCAAATTAGATTACTTTTTTCCTTCGTTTTATCCTTGCTTTTGGGACTAGTACTTTTTGGGAAAGTTAAGTCAGAATGATATCATTGATTTCGTCATTACTATATATTTATTATTAATGTTATCATTATATAATTGTAATTTTTAGTATTAGTATTAGTATTAGTATTAATATTAGTAGTATTATGAATCGAGAGTCGTTCTTAAAGAAAGGCTCGAGTATTGAAGATGAATAATTATCATTTATTAATTCTAATTCTAATTCTAACTAATAATATTATTAATAGTAGCTATAAATAAAATTTTTATTCAAGAGATTTTATATTAATACAATTGTTTAATAATAATAATAAAAATTGGAACTATTTCCCTTTTTACATATTAATCAATATATATAAAATGTCTGAAACCTAAGATTTTTCTGGATTTTGCAAGACAATTAAATAATATTCATTTTCTTTGATTTTTCATTTAAATGTGGAAAAGAAAAAGATTTAAAATCAATTTTATTATTATATTGATAAAAAGAAAGATTTCATAGAATCATAAAATAGTTTACCAGGTGCAACCATAAGCTCATGTTTCTTGGTTCTTACACGTAAGAAAGTTAAATCATTCTAATGATCAATAAAAAAAAAATATATCACTAATTCCAAATTATCCAGAGTAGCAAGCAAGAAAGAATGAAAACAAAAAAAAAAAAAAACAGATGTAACCAACTAACCGATTCATCCATATCTTTAACACAAGTTTTAGCTTGTTCAATAAGTTTAGTGATCAAATCAGAGTATTTTTTTGATAAATTCACATCGAAGGTTGATTTAATTGTTTGTCCATCTTCATTAACAATCATTACACCTTGCACATGTTTATTAGTTGACAAACGTTTAATTGTTTCTTCTACTTCTGTGGTACTTTGCTAATTTTATTTTTAGGAAAAAAAAAAGTACCTCTTTATTAAAATGCTTGATCGAAATATTCATTCTTATTCCTTTTTTTGCCATATGTTATGTATTTTAAGTAGCTTTACTTACTATCATTTTGGTTAATTCTTGCTTTCTTTTCAAAAAAATTTATAAATAATTGAGAAAAAAAAATCCCAATATTTGTCATATGCAATTTTGGGGGTCCAGTATTATGTGTATTACAAACATATGATATTTTTGTCGATTATTTTATAGATATATAGTAAATCGTGCAACTTCAAACCACTAAAGCTTTTTTTATTCTAAAAATGGAGTTTTTTTAATTTAAAAAAATGCCTCGGTGGTTGAGGTTGCATGATTTTTTGATGTCCTGCATTATACATAGTAAAGACACATAAAATTCAGACCCGTATAACTTTTGAAGGAACGATTTATAATATCCTCTTAATAATATCCAGGTGTTGAGCTTTATTGATTGACAAAGTACTTGAGCACCTGGATCCCAAGCTCTAGTGATAATTCCCGCTTTTCACTTGTCCAAAGCCTTCAAACTTGTTTAGGACCCTTTTTCACCTGTGGAAAAAATTCCATAATGCTTAATTGCACAGTCGTGGATGTTTGTGGAGTTGTTTGTGAGCATAGTGGACTATCCGTTAAATGTGATATAAAGTAACAATCATTGTTAACTAACAGAATTAATTGAAAAGCACTTTAAAATGAAAACTTTTAATAATTATTACTTTTAGTATTTGTATATATCAATTCCTATATTACAATTAATAAAATTTATTAAATAAAGTAATGATTTCATTTAAAGTGTAAATTTCAAAAAAATGAGATGCGATTTCCCATTATATGGATTACATATGCTGCGTGAAACAAAAAAATTTACTTTTTTGGGAAATTTCTGCCATCTTATAAAAAAGCAATCATGTGATTTATGGCGCTTCTCTATATTTATTATTTATTGATTTTATTGATTTAGAAGGGCAGAGAAATATGAATAAAATAGATGTGATTGCTTTGTTTTTTTCATCGTTTATATTTATAATTCATATTAATGCCTCAACAGGTATTAAAACCAATCACAAGATTCTCAATAATAATAATAACAACTAATTAATTTTCTACTGGAATTATCATAAAGATCCACTTTGTGTAGGACATCGAGGTTATACGTTAGGTGGACACCCAGAGAATACATTGATATCATTGGAAAAAGCAATTTCAGCAGGAGCTGATGGATTAGAATCTGATGTCAGATTGACAAAAGATGGTGAAGTGATAATGATACACGATGATTCATTGAATAAAACCACTAATGGTACTGGGTTGGTTATTGATCATGATTGGAATGGATATATTGAATATTTGAAAACTAAGGATGGTACCGCCAATATTCCAAGATTCCAAGATGTCTTGAATTTATTGAAAAAACAAGAAAATAAAAACATATTCTTGATTGTTGACATCAAGGCAATTAATTATTAATTAAATAAAGAATTATTTATTTAATAATATAAACAAATAACTCATATGCCCATTGCTATATACCTTTTAATTATATGCACTTTTCATATATTTATTATATTAGCGTAGTAATCCCATTCAAATAATTGATAAAATGGCAGAAATATTCGACAAATCAAATTCAGATTATGACTTTGGAAATCAAATATTCTTGGGTGTCTGGACGTATGAATTTTACTTGAGGACTAAAAAATTAATTCCAAAATTACCAATTTCTTATATTGGCGATGATATTTCAATTGCTAGGGAAAATTATTTTGATTATATAGAAAGTTATAATATGGAATACCCACAAGTGTTGTCGGATCATACCAAGTTCACCAAAACATTGTGTGAAAAAGGTAGGAAAATGTTTGTGTGGACAGTTAATGAAGATGGTGACTTGAAGTCAGTTATGAATTATGGACATAGTGAAGGTTATGGCGTGTATGGAATTTTATCAGATGATGTTGTCAAGTGTATTAGAGTCAGAGAGAAAATTTTGAGAAGAAGAAAATTTTGGAGGCAATTCTAATTAGCCAATCAAATCATATATTTATTTGAATTATTTATTTTATTTTTATTTGAATCATCTATTTGAATAATTTGTTTAGAAAAGTGTAAAATTATAACTTTAATAATTCTAATAATTATAAAATTATTTATTACTATATCTTTGGAAGTTATTTTGTGTTTATATTTAACATCAATATTTGCTTTATAATTATTTATCAAAGACAAGTTCAAATCAAATGACTGTGCTATAGTCCTGATCCATGAGCACACTCCGAATGTCATGGACCAGCAATTAATATTAACACACTACCTAAATTATAAGATACATGATTGCAGTGACTGCATCAACTTTAGAGCAATTCCCACAATATCAACTTTAAGAAGTTGATCCAAAAATTCTGAATGAATTGTAATGGGGGTTTACAGTGATGTCAGCCAGCTGATATTTTTTTGTAAAGGATTTTTCTGGCATTTCTCAAAAGTCAACTTTATCATTGTTTTTTGATGATAATCAAATAAAAGGCAAATAAATCTTTTGTATCAAACAATTGACAATTTTATTAGCTAAATTTTTACAGACATGTAAGAAGGTAGTTTTACCAAATCTTGCTGTGCAAGCAAGAATTATTTGGCAATACCGGCAAGCTCAGTACCATCTGAGAGATTGTTTCCATTAGCTGGAAATGCATTTACAAAGGAAAGAAATAGACTTTGTAAAATAGTACGATTTCTATTTAGATTTTTGATATAATTCATACATACAAGTTCTTAGCTGGCTTGACCAGCTAAGCTTTTTTTAACGGCTGGTATCACCAGTTTACAGGATATCAAGTCGATAAATTATTAGGAAATTCACATATTAAAGAAACCAGTAGATATGGATAAAGGGGAAAATTTATTTATTTCATAAATTCTATATAATAAGCTTATTATTTGTGGCCTTCTGGAAACCATCTTATCAGACTGTTCTTTTATTTTCAATCATAAAATCTGAGCACATGATCTTTCTAATGTTCCGTCTTTAAGACAAGGAAGTCTTGAACTGAACATTAAGCCAACACACTGCATTATCTGTCCAGCATATGGTCTGTTGGATAATGAATTAACAAAAATATATGTTAAATGGTGAAAAATCAATTTGACCTTGATGACAAATACGTTTTAAACGGTTGTTCCTCTGTACCCATCTATTGCTTGAGTCATTTCTATTGTAATTTAAATGGCGAGACTTCGAATGTAATTACCACCTGGTGCAATGTCAAGAATAAATCAGAATTAGCTACTACTGATGAAGATTTTTGCTAGTCGACCCATTTTTGGCCCATTTTTGCTATATTTTACGGCTACCAATCATTCACGAGCAAAATTTCATAGCGAATTCAAATCCATTATTCTTTGTATAGAACCTATAGTGGTTCGTGCCGTTGAGGCACGTAGTGCTGAACATGTCTGAAGGGTGGTAGAATTCCAAACCAGAGCATAAATTACAATGATCCATGCTGTTTAAGGTTTCCGATTGAAACTATCTCTCTTGGTAGCTGAAACATTGGCCCAAATTATTTTTCATTAATATATAGCCGAAATTGAGCGAAATTATTTTTTAAATTAAAATGGGTTGATTTATACAGTTCATTATTATAATAAAAAATATCGAGAAACTCAAACTATTGCCAAAGATACTTTCTTTTTAAAAAAAATAGTTTGGACCGAAAACCTTAATGCTGTTGAGGCACGTAATGTCAAACATTCCTGAAGGGTGGATAGCATACATACCAAACAATCTAACATAAATAATAATTCGGAGAACGTCCAAAACCGTTTGCACGCATAGTTCGCTAAACAAAAAACAAGGCAAAAGAGCGAACCAAACAAAAATGACCATGGGCCCGTTTCCCGAAGGGCACGGAAAGCTTATTCGAGATGCTAATCATAATCTTCTAGAGCAAGGTATCACAACCAAAATTTCTAATTAAAGATAGCCAGGTGTAAGATGGACCAAATAAAAATTTAGAGTTAAACTTTCCAGCAATAGATAGATAAAAATGGATGCGTATATAAAACAAGCACTCAGCTATATTGACTTCAATGATAACACAGACCCACCCCTTCGAAAAGGGAGGGTGATGTGCTAGAGCTACTCAGCACCCTACCCATATATATCACCTGAGCTTACAGGAGGAGGGATATTATCACACATAACGAGCCCTGTTAAACCATGCTCCACATGGCATAATAAAGGAAGAAAGAAGAGCAACGTACCGAAATAAGGACGAAATATTAGATTGACTAAGGTGTTGAAAAATGGTGACAAATTATAGGCTCGACTTCATAGAGGAATCAATTAGAAATTCGTATTCGTAATCGCCTAAATATATTTAAGGAGAATCCCTAGAGATATTTATATGGATTTGATGGAAAGTGTGCCGAGAAGGATAGAAGCTGTTATATCCAATAATGAGCGGCCAATAAATTATTGAGTTACGTACAAAAGAGAAAAATTTCAGATGTGGTTATTATGTGTGCCTAGGAAGTTCCACATACATATTCTTAGTCACGATTGATAAAAATTATTTACATCTCTATTATGCAATTAATGGTTTTATCGTATATAGTAAATTGCATCGGAAAATTTTATGTAACGTGATACAAAGTCGAAATTGGAAAAAGACATATCGGGAAAGCATAAATAACAGAGGAAATAATGCTATTAGTTCTTGATAAAAAAGTTCTTTAATCTTTAATTAGGAATTATCATAAAATATTTAATTAATAACCAAGAAGCAAATCATCTTGATTCCTAGATGATAGTACTTCAATTTATTACAAATGTTGGATTTCTTTCATACATTTTTCTTTAGTTTTAATGATACAGTTGCACCTGTCTATTTGCATAACGTAAACGTGCATATGCATCCTGTTTCTATTGCATATTCATACGATAAAAGGAAAGATCAACTACAATAATTTATTCAAAAAAATCTTTGTTTCATAGAATCAGAATAAATCTTTTTCGCATGTTCAAGTTCGAGATATTTCACATTACAAGATTTTTTCTGTAGTGGGTTTGTTTCATTACTTAAAAATTCGTGTGAACGCTTTAATGTTCTGGAAATTGTTGCTAGATCAATTTTTACTCCAAATTCTTGTTCATACCAATTAATCAATTCTTTCTTGGACCATTTTGCTTTTTTAAACAAATTTATGACGTTGTTCGTTGTTTAATTTAGCTTTCTTCATTATGGATATAAAGGATAACAAAATAATGTAATAATGTTTGTGTAAAAATCAAAAATTATTTTAATGAATCGAAACGATTTTTACATAATATGTCATGTGACAGTTAATTCATCAGTCACATGATAACGCGAATATGCATTAATTTTTTCTGTAACAGTCCTCAAATTTTATTAGCGGATAAAATTTTCATATTTAACTGATTATCGAACAAATTTTTTATTTTGTTCATCCATGCTAAAATTTCTATTCTTGACCTGGTTATTAACACAATATTGCATGTTTATTATTATACTGTAGATTATTCAATTTTACAGGTCATCCGGCATAAATTTTATTTGGGTTGGGCAATTGTATTTTTGCCACATGATGGATGCATTTTTTACTAATAATCCCGTTGGTTGTAATGTCAATCTGTACAAATTTTTTATAGGTGCTATATGCACATGTAAATTCGATAAGTTGGACGAAGCAATCAATTGTTAAAGTACTCGATAATAAATATATGTATATATTAAAAAAAGTTCATTATTGATCAAATAATTTATTTGAAACTTTAAAGTCAACTTTTCTCCATTCCAAAAAAAAAACCTTTTGGATTTTTCTCGATTATTGAATTTTGTTTCGATATTCATTTTATTAAAATCATACGATGACGATGATGACCTTCTTTACTATAATAATAATAAGGAAAATATTTGCTTGTAAGATCTTTTCCGAATTTGTTAAATTGTATCGTTCATCACATTTATATTTATGTGTACATTCTCTCACACCACTTTTTTTTTTTTTTACAGTTAACGAAAATTTCGTCTCCAGTTAAAAAAAGTTTTTTTGCTTCTCAATCAACCATAAACAAATTGCATGCATTATATGCCGGGATTATTCGGATGTAAACTATTTTTAAAATTTATGATTTCGTTCACTTCTATTTAAAAAAAAAAATTAGGTTTTATTTGTGTGGTAAACATATTAATTAACGAATGAATGAATGCGCACACATATACATGACGTTTAGATTTTGTTTTTTTAAAATTCTGTTGATTGTTATTATTTATTTATTTATAAATCCCCGTGACAATTCGAAATAAAGACAGGATAGGAGAGGGAAACAAAGAAAGAGCAAACGAACGACAAGTAAACAAACATGCACTAGAGGCTGTACCCACCCAATGAATAATATTCAGTGAATATTCAATGAATATTTGGTTAATCGAATATTTGATTTTTTCATTGATTGATATAATAAATTTAAAGTGAATATTCAGTTAATCAATATATTGTGTAACCGAATTGAAATAAAATTTTCTCGCGTCAAATAAATTAATTAAATTTCAAAGGGAAGAGCCTTGATGAATATTTATTATTAGAAGAAATAGATTGGAAAGATGATCCACTCTTGTGGTGGAAACATCGTAAAAATAGATTTCCTGTTTTGTTCAAAGTTAACTACTAAATATTTATTAATCAAGCTGGAAATACAGTACAATGACAAAAGAACAAAACTTAATCCATTTTTTTTATATTCATTGAATGATCAATTTAATGATTGAATAAATATCCAAATATATTAATTATTCACCAAGTGATTATCTGAATATTAAATTTAATTGATTGAATGAATATTCAGTGGGTACAATCTCTATTATTAATTAAATTATTAAATGTAAATGTAAATAAATGTAAAATGTAAAATGTGAATGTGTGTGTATATATATATAATATTAACAAAAATATTTTTATTAAATAAATGCATGTATAATATCTATATATTTATATAATAATTTTTCATTTCTTTTTCTTTAAAATCCTATAGAAATCATCAATACATAACCAATTGTAATTACTGAAAATAATCCAATTAAAGAGCCTGGTACACCAGATTTTAGGAAATCATATGTAGTCAAGTATCGAACACCCATATCATCTTCCATCATAATCGCATTCATATTAGGAAACCCTGATACTGGTAATCCCATTGATAATGAGCATGTTAGTGCTGAACCCTGTTTAAATGTAATAAAGGAATGTTATTATTATTATTGTAAAATTATTTTTAAAAAAAAAAATATAATAATTACCATTACTAATAGATTTGGATGTGAATCACTTAATTGACGACCAACTTCTGCAACGATAGGTAAAATGATAAGAGCAGCCACAGTGTGACTGATAAATGTTGAAAAGACAAGTACTAGAATGGCGAAAACCACTAAAACTTGCCAAACTCCAAAACCATTAACCATGGCCTGAATATTTTTAGCTATAAAGTGTAATAATCCTGAACTATACACTGCCTTTCCAAGTGCAATACCACCCATAGCAAGTATAATCACTGTCCACAAGAAATTATTGAAATCTTCTTTGGTCAAAATTCCTGTTCCAAAAAATAAAACCAACGGAACTATTGCTATAATCCCCATATCACCCAAAAAATATTCCAACTTCTTTTCAACACACCACAAAACAATCGTTATAATGGTAACTAGTATCACATAAATTTGTGATCCTGTTAATGGGTCTTTGGAGGTTCTTATCGGATGGATCATTAGATTTTTTGTTGACCCATAATTCCAAAGAAGCAAGACCCATATCAAAACATCTACAATTATGCACAAGGGTATTGCCACAACAAACCATTGAATCCATGTTGGTGAAGGATGCATGTTTTCAATTGCTATTATATTTTGAGGAGATGATATGGGCGATGCCATACCACCTACATTTGATGCTAATGCAATACCAATAATCAAACAACGTCCAAATGATACGTTTGATGGTAGATTTCTAAGAATAGGTTGTATCAATGAAAAGCATAAAACAGGCGCTGCAACATTACTTATCCACATACTGGCAAATGTCGCAACAAACATATTAGCCAACAATACAAAACTGGGTTTTGTACCAGCATTTGATAAAACAAACGTCGCCATCATTTTTGCTATATGGTATTTGCTCAACGCTCCTGCTATAGCAAATCCGCCTAAAAGTAACATTATCACTGGCGAAAACATTGCTGCAAAGATTTGTTTGGTTGCTAAATGCGCATCAAGACGTGTTTTACCATCATCAGAACGTAGAACACGTAAACATACCACCAATAATGGAATTAGCAGTGATGTTACAAAAAGTGGCATAACCTCTGTAGACCACAAAAGACTTGCAAATACCAATAAAGCAAAACAATTCCTTTGTTCCTCATGTTTAAAAATTGGAAAATTTAGCAATAGAAGAAAAATTATAATGCACATTATCAGTATAATCATATTTTTACAAAATATGTCATTTATAGTCAAATTTCCAAATGGCGTTGATATTTCAGGCGGTGTTTTAATTATATTCCCTGGTGCTTTAATATTAACAGCATGACTCTTTCTTTCCAATCCAATGATATCTCTCCATATTGTATTTCTTTCCCAAACAATAAATTCTCTCAGATGAGTTTTAAGTTCATTGATGGCGGCCTCTCTATCAGCATTTGTATAGAAGTTTGAATAGATTTCTTGTACTCTAAGAATTTCTGACTCGAGCCTTTCACGTGTCGATCTCTTGAATGCATAAGACTCATTGACAACATTTGTTAAATAGTGAAATTTTAACTTACACCCAATAATTTTCTCGTATTTCTTCAATATTTTTGAAAACCCTGTCTCATTAAGTGACACGAATGATTTTAGTTCAGATAGATGTACAAAAAGTTCAATAACCTGTCTTTTAAAAGCTATTTTTTGTTCTTCAACAGTTGGTGGTCCCCATAAAAAAGAAACTCTGCGATCATCAAAAGAAGCTCTACGATTACCACCATTATTATCATTATCACCATCAACTGAAAACCTTATACGACCAGGTTCATCACAAATTTCCCCCTCCCCTACATCATCACTACTAATAAATGAGCCAGTTGCATCGGAAACAGATCGATTTCTTCTGGATTGTTGAGAACTTTTTATTTGATGATGTGAGGAGGCCTCCCGACCATGAATATATGAAGACTGCGAGCCATCAGTTGATGCATAAGATCTACTTAGATTATTGAGATTAACACTTGCACTATCTTCAAGATTTTCTATACATGCAGCTTCACCAATAAGTTTATCAACATTTTCGTAAAGTTCCTTTTCTTTATTACAATAGAACGTGTTTATTTTTGCTAATTCTTTATCTAGTGCTAGTGTGAATATTGGATTGGTTTTGGTTTTACCAACTAATAAAGGTGATTGTTCAGTTATTCCAGCTTCAGTGTCAGTTGAAGTCGAAGTTACAATTATACCTTTTTCAAGTTGATAAATAAGCTTTTTTAGATTTGAATATCTATTGAGATAAAGAAAATTAAGGATAAGTTTGATCAATCAACCTTTTAATTTTGTAATAATAATTAAATTATTTATTGAATCGACATTAATTATTCTTTGTTTCAGAACAGAAATAATATATCGAAAGGATACGCAATGTAATGGTCAGCCCAATCAGGAACTGCATTAAATTGTATTGAATGAGAAAATTTCATTCTAAAGTTCTAAAAGTGAAATTTGTTCTTGAAAATTTTTAACGTATATAATTGATAAAATTTTTTCAGAAAAAAAAAACGTAGTATTTTTATAATAATAATAATATAGATATGATAAATCAAAAAGCCAAAAAAAAATCATAATTAGAGTTTGGTTTAAACTTATCATTTTATCACGTTTTCGATCCAACCTCTTAAATGGTACTAGTACCAAAAAATTCTTCCGACTATATTAGTTCATCTATCAAAATGAGTTAACCTCGTTATAACAAAGTGTAACAGTAATAATATTTTCTATATAATAACGAATTTTATATGTGAAGGAACCAATATTTGCTTACCAAAAATAGTATTTGCCCCTCGGGCCTGCAGCCCATGCGGATAATTCCTGAAATGTTACACCATTATCCCTTGATTCGTAGGGATAGGAGCCTCAGCCTGGAAACATATTATTACTTTCTTTCTATATAGAAAATCTTTTGGGGTGGTTTTTATTATCTAATCACTAAATTTGGAACAAGATACAAGATAGATGATCTCCTCCACCCCACATAAAGCATGCAACAGCTCCTCTGATCAGATCAGATACTTACCGATATGGAATTTTACATCTTCTCAAGATTTACAGCAAAATTGAACAGAAAAAATTTCTCTAAAGTACAAATGTGGTACCATTTTCGAATAGCCATAGCTTTACATAAATAGTTCCTTTTGATATAAAAAAATATTCATTAAAAAGCTTTAATGATGTAATTTGAAAATAATGAACTGTTTTAAAGGCATTGCCAAGAATAATAATACTTGATTATATATGTCTATCGTTATAACAATAACAAGTTCGATTGTATTGTGTCGTTCCGTATTAATATTTAAAAATACCGCAACCGCAGCATATTGAATTTTTCTAGATCAGAGTTTTTGATTGTTATAATGAAAAATCAAAGAAACTGGTGAGTTAGCAGCAATTAGTTTGGCATTTAACATGTCATTCATAAATTTACTAAAGATGATATATTTCATTGATGTCGAAATCACAAAATAATATACAAATCAGCCGGCAATTAATTATCAAAGAATATAAGATCTACCACATTTATTGAAAAAAACGGGATCATTTATACTAATAATCGGATCAAAGGTACTTTTTAAATTAAAAAGGCTCGATTTTAACATATGGTTATTTCTTAAAAACATCAGATCAACAAATAAAGAGATTTGGCCAAAAAAGTCATACATTTTCATTTTCTTCCGTCATCTACATTAGATACAAATATCATTTCAAGGATAAAAACAGACCATCAACAAAAAACATATTCCTGTTCTTTCTTGAGTTTCCTTATCTAAAATAAATCATGATGTTTAAAGTAAAAAGAAAATTGATATAATTTTTATGAAGAATAGATAGGTAGAATAGAGAGATATGTTATCTTGTTTTTTTTTTAATTTCTACTGCATATCATTCCTCAACTTATTGATGGTGACATTTTTGAAAACTTGGTAATTTTTTTTAAATTAGAATGTTGTTATGCTTTTAAATTTATAGAGTCTAACAAGTCTAATACCACTTACTTTGTGAACTCTCTGATAAAGGTTTAAAGCAATTAAAGGCCGTGTAGTATAGATATGGAGGGTGTGCATTTATTTTTAAGTCTCGAGTTTTGGAATAAGACGTTTGTACTTATTATTATACAAAAGGTTATTATTATATATAAAATACTACGAAAATTATTAGCCACAAGGGAGGGGACCCTTCCTATAATAAGCCACACAAACATGGATATTTTTTGAATTTTCATTTTCTCAAAAATTTATTATGGATTTCAATCTTCCAGCAGATTGTTTACATGATATATTTGAAATATTGGACAAAAAATCATTGTTTTCATGTTTATTAGTTAACAAATATTGGAGTAAAATAATTATACCAATTCTATGGAAAAAACCATTTCCAACAATACATAATAATAATCATAACCATAATAATAGTAATGAAAATATCTTTAAAAATAATAATAGTAATAATAATAACAACATCAATAATAAAACAAATAATTTAATTAAACAAATTTCTTATACTTTAATATTATGTCTACCAACTGATTCGAAAATAGAACTGATGAAAATTGGAATGAGACTTTCATTTCCAATAACGCAAAAACCAATGTTTAACTATATAAAATATTGGCAATACATTTCTCAGAAAGATGTCAAACGAATAGTTGAACATGTTGTCATCGTTAATAATAAACAAAGTACAAAAAACACTAATAGTAGTGGCAATGTTGTAAAATTAGCATATAATTTAAATTTGGTAGAAAAATTGATTTGGAAAATGATAATGATGCAAAGTGACGGGTTCAAATATCTTAATCCACCAGATGAAATCCCAATCACATATTGTCCTGGTTCATTATTATGTCTGTCGAACCTGTATGAATTGGAATGTTCATCAAAATATTCAGAAACTTTATTACTTGGTTTGGCTCACGTTTGTCAGAATATTTACCGGCTGACGATAAATCCATGCGAGGACAATGAGAATAATGGATTGTTTGCATTGATAGAACAGCAAAACTCTTTAAGAGAAGTCAAATTGGTGTCACCAAAAGGTTCTATTTGTAAACAGATTGGAAAATCATTGGCGAAACAAGCAACATCTCTAACCAATTTCACTTGTCAAAAAAATATTTGTTTAACCGAAGAGGCAATGTCAAAACTGGTAAATATTAGAGAATTGGATCTGATATTGGGCAGAACAAATCTAAAATCAAATTCATTGGAACTGGCAAAATTCGCAAAATTGAGAGTTCTAAATATAAATCATCAGTATCGGACTGCATTGCATCATTACACCAAAATAATAGAGACAACTGAAGGTGACCTGGAAAAAATAAATTTTGATTTTGGTTTATTTCCATGTATTGAAGAGATTCAACGATACATACAAGTAGTAACTGAGAATTGTCCAAATTTGAAATTTGTAACTATATGGTTTACGGGCCAAGAACTAAATGATATAGAAAGGTTGCTGATAATTTGTAATAAGTTGCAAACAATCAAAATTGAAGCTGTAACTTATGATTTATCAACCAGTGTGACATGGAAAGTTGACATAAAACCAATATTTGAATTATTGACTAAAACTTCAAAGAATTTTCAAGAACTCATTATTAGTAAATGGATCTTTACGCCATTGGAACTGAACGAATGTTTGGAAATGTGGAGAGGTAGAAAGCCTTTAACTTTGAAAATTCAACGGAAAACACAAGAGCACATTCAAGTCTGTAAGAAATTTTTGAATGAAGGTGTCCTAAAAGGATTCTCATGATCTTAATTGGGATAGAAATAAGGGTGGAACTGAGGTTTGAAATTGAAAAGGAAGATAATAATGGATTACGAAGATAGTGAAAGGTTCATCAGGGAAGAAAGATTAATAATTCACTTCTTTTAAAGGGAGTTATGATTAACTCATCCTCCCAATTCAATCAATCAATCAACTATTAACCATTCTTCTGTCATTCTCGTTATTATCACATATCATCATTATCATCATCATTCTTTCCTAGAAAAATTATATTTAAAAATAGTGATATTTTTTTCTACAATAATAAATCTTCTAATATGCATAATGATACTTTTCCTTGAAAATGAAGGCGATATAAACTAGTAATGATAAATAATAATAGTAGTAAACTTAAAAATATTATTAATTAATCAATTCTTTAATCATAAATTGTCACCCTGCATTAAAAATTTTTTTTTATAATTCAAAGATTTAGTTTATTTTGAACTTTTTTTTAATTTACTTGATTTTTTTTAATTTATCAAATTTTTTTATTTGAAAATAATAATAATAATAATAGATTCAAAGATTAAATTAAATCAAATTATTTTTATTTACATATTTATATATATATATTTCATCAATCCATCGATCCATTTATTTTTTCCAAGAAATAATAAAATTATAATAGTAAAAATGAATAATAATAATAATAATAATAATAATAATAATAATAATAATAATAATAATAATAATAATAATAATAATAATAATAATAGTGATCTTAATTACAATGATGATAATGATAATGATTCAACATTAATTAATAGTAGTTATGAAACAATAAAAGGTGATTATGTAGATAACAATCATCGTTATTATAATGAAGACGGACAAGAAATAGTTACGGAAAAAGTTTATGGCGGTGGAGAGGATGATGATGATGAATTAATTAGAAATTCATCTTTAGAATCTGATTTTATGGTTTTTTTAACTCAAGGCTCATTAATAAATTACAACTATAATGATAATTATGATTATGATCACGATTATGACTATAAAAAGAAGAAAGAATCTATTGCAAAAGAAAATTCTACATCTAAGTTAAAGCCGCCATCTAAATTACTAACAAATCCAACAAAAAATATTACAAAATTACTGTCACCACCAATAGAAAACGAAGGAATCAAACTCGAATCAGAAAACTGGATTACTTGTAGGCATGATACACTTAGAAAAATAGACAAATTTCTACAACGTGACAAGTTAATACTAGTTAGATCACCACCATTTACTGGCAAAACATCATTATGTTTCCTTTTGGAAAATTATTATTGTAAACTAAAAATTCCCGTGGTACATGTTTGTTTTCTAGGCGTACAAGATTATCGTGATTTTGAAAAATTTTGGATCAATGAAACATCAAAAAGTTGGAAATACTGGTTGGACCCGAAAAAACATTGCGGTGAACTCGTTATTATTCTAGATGAAACTCAATTGATATTTAACAATAGGAAATATGAAGATTTTTGGTCTAGAGTTAAATATTTGTCTAGACTATCGTCGTCATCATCATCAACTATACATAAAAAAAAATCATTGATAAAAGTCATTGCCTTTTCAACTGTTGCTTCAATTATAATTAATCCTAATACTGACGATATTAATAATGATAGATCATTGATAGGTGGTAGAACTACTAGAAATAGTAGTGGTAGAGTTAGTAATATTACACAAAGTCCAGTTGATTTCCAAAATAAATTTGGATTTGAATTGATAAGGTGTACAAAAAAAGAATTGCTGGAGCTGGCTCAAGCATTTAATAATCATTGTATTAGGAAGAAAATACAAGTTAGTGAAAAAATAGCTGGATATATTATGGATTTTACAGCAGGCCACGTTGGATTGATTAGGTGGATATTGAAAGGAATTGATAATCATTTCTCATATCGAGGTACAATATATGAAGTTACAACTGATTCTCAAATAATGAGATATTTAAAATCATCAGAGTTTATTGAACAAATTAAATCACATCGAGGAGCTGCACCACTATACAAGTTTACCAAAGAACAAGGTGAGATAATTGACAAATTGTTGCTAAAAGATGAAATATATGTGTCGGCTTCAGGTCCTGATGATGTGATGACATCGTTACTTAAAACTGGTGTGATTTTCTATCTGGATGATAAAGGTCCCGAGTTCAGGCTGAGGGAGGGCAGAGTTGGGTTTATCTCGCCTGTGAACAAATTATTGTCATTTTTTCAAAGATGTGTCTCGATGAAAGAACCACTGAAAGATGGTTTTGGTTTACAGGAGTTGATCAAGGAAGCTTTGTCTAGGATAAATTCAAAAGCGTTAACACATAATCTTGGCCGGTCAAAGGATGGTATGAGGTTGCTGGAGCGGGTATGGCAGATGGAGTTTTATAGAGCAATCTATAGCTGCTTACCTGACGAAATGCACATATCACCGGATGTGGGACGTATATTTTCAACAGACGGAGTTGTTGATTTCTACATCTCTGAGCCACAATGGGCAATTGAATTGCTCATTGATGGAATTGATATGAAAAGGCATCATGAACGTTTTCAGGATGGTATGTGTGAACATGTGGTATGGAGATGCAAGAAAATATAATATACAATTAAGTAATCTATGTATCTTTTTTTCTATTTATTTATCTATTTAGGTGGAAGATACTCACTAATACCGATCAAATCATATCTAATTCTTGACATCCGAGAGACTAGAACAGTACAAAAATCCTACCCCAACACGTGGCACATCACACCCAACTCTGACTTTTCAATTTTCAACGTGTTGGCTGGTACCAATATTTTTGACATTCCAATCCGTAAAGTGTATCCTAGTCTTCTCATTTCTAAAAATTTGTCACGAGTAACTAAACAAGAGTGTCGAGCGTTGGAATACGAGATGTCTAAAATACTTAAAAGAAAAAGACACGAAGGGGACATTAATGGTATTAGTAATGGAAATTGTGATTATAACAACATTAACAGTGACAGCAATAATAGCAATATCATTATTGATAATATTATTGACAGTAGCAGCAGTAACAACAGCATTAACAACAACAACAACAACAATGACAATAATATTGTTATTACTAATAGCAGTAACAAAACCATCATTAGTAGTAATTATAATGAAATCGAGAAGAAAAAAAATCGTAAAGAGGTTATTGAGAGTTTAGAGAAATTGATTGATTTCTTGACTAGACGAGAAAAATATCTAAGAGAGAGGGGCACGATTAATGAGGCAAATGATGTTCAGAGACAACTGGATAGAGCTGCACATGATTTGACACATGTTTTATATGAGGCAGTTGGACAAGGATTTGGAATTAATGGTGATTTGTTATTGGAAAGATATTATCGTAGTATCATTAATAATGATATTAATAACAATAGCAGTACCTGTAATGGGAATAGTGATGTTTGTGATATTGTTGTAAATGAAGACAACGATGTTGGTGTTAATAATGGTGCTAATAATAGTAGTGATTCATCGTCAATTCTTAATATTGATGATTCGGATGATTTAAATTTAAACAATTTCAAATAATGTTATCTTAATCAGATTCTATATTAATACAATCTCACCACAATAATTTCTTGTAAATTATTACTACAGTATAAATTTCTATCAAGTCCACCCGAGTAATTTTTTATTTATTTTTTTTTGAGAATTGAAAAAAGTAGACAAAAATTTTCATTTTATTTTGCAATCAAAAATTATGTCCAATCACGTCTTCTGTGATATTAATCTCCATCATTATTATTATTGTACTATATACTAATTTCTACGAATGTTAATAATATTTATTGTATATGGCTTGGGCCTTTATACCAATGAAAGATGGAAAAATCGCAAATTATTTTCATATACCGTAATTAGTTGAGGAACTGTCTTTAATAGCAATGGGAAGAATGTCAGTAAAGAACTGTGCCGCACGAATAGAAAATTAAACTGCATTAATAGTATATTTGGAGAGAAGGATTTGGCGGATTTTTTTATATTATGAAGCTAACCCTGGGGAGAGAAGATTTGGTAGAAATGTCACAAAAAAAAATTTTTTTTTTAAAGAAAAATAAGATTAAGAATATCATCAGCACTAAATGGAATATATAAATGTATTTATTTATTTGACTGCTAGCTATTCAAATAAACATTGTTTTTCTAATTGTTCAAATCTATTAGGTGCAATGGGTGAAATGGGTGATAACGGATATGTTATAGGAAGAAATTTATTATCATTATCAATTTCCATTGAGCCATAATTAATCCTGGTTTTATCATCATCTATATTTGGGTAGTCTGAAATATCCAATTCAACAGTTGTAAGATAAAGATTTTTCAATTTATCCTTGATTAATTTAATAGCCTCTTCATACTACATATATAGATATGAAAAGAATAAATAAATTTAATTATATAAGCAAAAAAAATTATCATGCTAAACAACCAACCTTTACAAAGTGCATTTGAACTTCCAAGAATTTTGATTTTCTTTGATCTTCCAATGCCACGACTTCAGAAGGATTAATAGATTTTGATGGTGCCCATATCATAGAACGTAGCAATGGCCAGAGTCTTTCTTTTTCCATTAATGAGATAGGTCTATTGATAAGACTTGGATACAATTGTATCAATGTGCTTATTTTCAAATTTAAGATTAATTCTACTTGTAAATCTACAACAAATAATGTTCCAGATGGAGAGATGATGGGTGTAGCAAGTGGATATCCTGGAGTACTAGTGTTCAGTTGAACTGTATATAATGGTCCTGAATATTTATCTTTCAAATATTCTGGTGTAACTTGAAGCTCTAGATCTAATGATGTTTGATTGTTATCTATTAATACTCCTTTCACTTCTAATTCAAGCATTTCTTCATGAGGCTCAATTATGGTTTTTTTTGTGATTTCATCATCATTATTATTATTGTTAATAATAGGATACAAATAATCTTCAGGATTTAAATGAAGAGTTTTGCATAGTAATTCAACAATGTCTTTTCTACACTTAGCTAAATCTAAAGGTACTCTATCCTCAATATTTTTTTCACCAGGTTTAGCATTGTTAAATAAAAGAACTTCCACAACACCAGTATGACCATTCTTGACTGCATCATGAAGTGGTGTATTGAATTTGTTATCAGTGGCATTTATATTTGCTCCCATTGCAACTAATATATTTACAATTTCATAACGACCTTCATATGCAGATTCATGTAATGGTGTACGTCCATGATTATCAGTAATGTTGATTTTGGCCCCTGCTTCAATCAAATTTCCTACCATTTCCATGTTACCTTTCTTGGCATGAATATGCAACTGACTTCTTCCAGACAAATCTCTACTTTTAAGATCCATCCTTAAAATATCATTATTAGAAAATTTTGATCTTACACCTCTATTTTTATTCTTCTTGATAATAATATTGTTGTTGCTAATTTTATTATTGCCATTACTATTATTATTATTTCTAGTAATACTGTTGGAACTCGCAATTGGTGATTTCTTTTGAATAGATTTCTTCTGGTTTTCTGATTTATCAAATGAATTTTTTTTATTTGCAAAACCTTTTGGTTTAAACTTAGGATCACTATTTACTTCTAAAATTGTAGGCTTTTTGGTTTGAACATCATCTAAATATCATAATATGACAATAAACATTAATTAATATTTAGTAAATATACATATAAACATAGATAAACATTTATGTATTTGTATAAATATTACCTTCATTACTACTTCCAATTGCACCATCACTTTTTAATAACAATGCATTTGATGGTATTTTATCTGAATATAAAAGGTTTGATTTTTTAACAGGTGTTTTAACAACTTCCACAAATGTCCCCAATAATTTAACAATATTTTTATTGGATGTGTAATCCACAGGTCTTTTTTCATTTACATTAGTTTTTTCAGGATCAGCTCCATACTCTAACAAAACTCTAATTATATCTTCATGGCCTTCAGCACATGCGTCATGAAGTGGGGTGTCCAATTCATCATATGAAATGGCATTAACTTCTGCTCCATTTTCTAATAGAAAACACACAATGTCTAAATATCCATGATATGCAGCTTCATGAAGTGAACTCCACCCTGCATTATCACATGCATTAATGTCAGATCCTTTATCTATCAGATATTTAACTCTATCTAATTTGCCTTCTTGACATGCTCTATGTAAATTAGTTTGACCAGCTCTATCTCTAGTAAAAATATCATTCTTATCTATTTCATTTACTTTATAAATAAATCTTTGCTTATTACTATTAGAAATATTGTCTGTACTTTGAAATCTTAAAGATTTATTGTTTGTTTGTTTCTTTTTATTATTAGGTGATCTAGACAATCTTCTAGTTTTTGTCACTTTATCTTTGTTATTATCATTATTTTTCTTTTGTTTTATATCATCATCATTGTCAATATTAGACTTTGATATTAATTGTTTTTTTGAAGGTGGCATTCTTTTAGTTTCTGATTTTGTATTAACAGTAATAGAAATATTACACTCACTATGATTAGTATTATAACCATTATCACTACTGCTGTTACTACCACTATTAATACTATAATCATCATTGTTATCAATAGAATTAATTATATCCATATTTGAATTTTCTATAGTACAGTCCATGGATTTTGATACAGGTAATTCATCATCATAATTATTAAAAGTTTCTCCTAATGAGGAATTAGATCTCATACGTTTAATACCATAATTTACAATATTATTATTATTATTATAAATTAGAAAATCAGTATGTTCTGCTTCTGATTCATCACCTCTGACTGTTGCACAATCATCATCTGAATTAAAGTCCTTATTCTCATATACTCCCATTTCTCTAATCGTCTTTTTACAAGTTTTAATTTACAAATTTACAAATTGTTAAATCTCTTTTAATGAAAAAAAAATTCCTTTTTTTTTTAAAATTAATTATCCTATATTTTAAAAAAAATTCTTGCTTATTTATTTTCAAATATATATAATTGATTCTATTTATTTATTTTTATTTATCTATCTATTTTTTTTTTTTAAAAAAAAGAGATTTAAAAAAAAATTTTTTTAAAAAAAGCTCTTAATATATACCAGTTATTTTATTATTTACAAGTATTACGTTATACAAACTTAAACTTGTTGTACGTTGTATTAGATTGGCTAATATAATAAAGTTTGTAGTAATTTGGGAAAGCTCTAATTATAAGATAATAATAATAATAAGGCGCGGAAAAATTAAAAAATTTTACGGAGAATAAAGTAGCTTTTGCCCTGGACCAAATTTTTTAAAGATGTTTTTTATATAATTATTTATGAATCGAAATAATATTTATTAGTTTTTTAATATAAAATCTAGTTTCATTCTTTATAATGAAACTTTCTTGTCATATAAGTATTTTTGTGCCGTTGTTCACTACAGTAATAGAGAAAGACATTCATTATAGAGAGTAATAAAAGAAAAGTTTGTCATGATGGGAAAGTGAAATGTAGTCTTTTTTCTCAGAATAATATATTTTTTATGATTATAGCCGTTCGTATAAAGAATAAAAAAATCTTTCTGCTCAAAATTTATTTTGTCACGTGGTTTATTAGTACTTGTACCGTAAAGTCTCGAAAGATAGCACCCCCTTTTTACAACTGTGTAACAAATTGTTTTAAAGTAGGGACACTATCTTTCGGTAATAACTAAACTCAATTGAAATGTGACATAATCAATTACATATGTGAGTTATATCAATATCTAATTATAATTACCCCAAACTATTTGCTAAACCAAGACTGTGATATTTTTAGATTTAAAGGTTTTTTAATTGATAAAAGATATTATTTAGTGATGGTGGCCGAAACTATTTTTGAAAAATAAATCAATCTACTATATTTTAAAAAATTTCGCCCAATTCAGCCATTAAAATTAGTTTAAGCCAATTAATTTCGGCAATTTCGGCCCATTAAGTAAGGTAGTTTCGGCCACCATCACTAATATGATAATGATTCTATTCAAATCAGTTCGGATTGTAACAGTTCGAATTAAATTATATATCCGAATCAGTTCGAACCAAAACACAATTCGAAATCGTTTCGTTTCGTCTCGCTTCGTCTCGTTTCTGTTCGAATTTCATTGATTCCTTCGGAGCCTTATCGAAAATAACCATACAGTCGAACCCTCGTTTCAACGGATTTTATATTTAAATCGCGTTTCAACGGACAACAGATTTTTTGGTATGAGTTTTCTAGATATCAAACTTATCTGTAAAATCTTTTTAAATTGTATATAAAAATAAAAAAAGTTTAATAATGGAGCAAGGAAATTATGATATAAAAAATCTTCATCTCTAATAAACTTCATAGAAGTAAAGTTTATTTGATAATTTAATAGTAAAAAGGTTTCCTTTAATGAAATGAAAGTTACTGGTTAAATTTCCTTGTTTCAAGTAAATGTCCATGTATAATGACCTCTGCTTGATGAAACTATATTTTTTTACATATAATTACCACGATTTATTTAAAATAGATTTGTATACGTAAACCGGTTTTTCAATAATAAACAAAAAAAATATTGGTTTTTAAAATTATAGTCACACAATATAATTTTGAGATCGTCACAATGCGATAAATGTGATAAATAGAGCTTCCATTATGCTCAAACAAATGGGAGATTTTAATAATCAATCACATTAGAAATTTTGATCCCTGAAATCATCGGTAATACCAATGTTCACTTTGTCTGGTTTTGTTGCAGCATGCCCCATTTTATGTATTGTATTATATATTATATTAAAGATTATTTATTTGCAATATGTGTATTAATAAAATTAATAAAATGATATCTATTAAATAATATATCTTGAAAGAGTTTGGTGTCCTATTCTAAGTTCACCGAAAATATAAATTTCAAAATATTATCATTACTATTATAATTCTTGTTTTTGTTGTTGTTATTTTTTTAAAAAAAAACTCCCCTCCTTGCCAGTAGTAATAGTGATGGTGATGATTATTAATTAGGTAAGATTGATCTTGTGTAATACTGAGGATGGATTACAGTGGTGAACTTATATCAGTACTAAATGAGTCATCATCATTTTGTTGTTTCTTTTCATTGTTAGTAAATATGACAATATCATCATCATGTCCATTATCTTTACGATTTTGTAGATTACGACGAATAGGTTGGCGTGAAAATTTAGTTGGTTGTGCTTTATTTATAATGCCAAGGTTTTTCTTTGCAGTAAAAGGTAAACTAGCCACAAATCTAAAAAAAATCACATCATCATTTTTAGTAAAGAACAAAAAAAACATATATATTTTAATTTTTTTTTACACACACACACACACACACATACATACTCATCAACTCTTGAACCGAATCTGGATTTATAAACTTCAAAGGATTTTTTTGAAGCAGTCCTAACTTCTAATGTTGAGTCTATGACACCTAAATGAATAATCCATTCTAGATCAACAATATGATTTTCTAGACCTGTAACGTCCTCCTCTAAAATTGTCAATGTCAATTTTGCTACATTTGTTTTCAATAATTTACTTTGGCTTTGCATTGCTTCTCTAAATTTTGGTATGAGGCTTGATAATTTGGACACTTTAATTATTGTTTCCAAACATTTATATGCTCTTGTACCAAACAATTTGTTTGTACGATTACAAAGTTTGAGAATGTCGGGTACAAATAACTCGGCTAATGAATCAAAATTTGGACCAAGTGATTTAGAAATTTCTTCGACCAATTCAGTTGCTGTTCCTGACAATTTAGTTCTTTCTGTAAGAATCTTATTTTTAAAAATAAATAAATGAATTCGTCAATTAATCATTCATTCAATCAATCGGTTAAAAATAATTTATTCACATACCGAATTTTGAATTGGTTGTTTTAAAGACTTGATCCCAGAAATATATTCTGTTTCATAATGAGAAACTCCTTCACGAGTTATTTCAATTAGTCGTATCAATGCTCCCTCAAAATTTCTCCAATTAGTTTCAGATTCTTTTTCTTGAAATAATTCCAAAATGTTTTTTACTTCAAGTTCAAATTGTAAAGCCTTATTATTATTCTTTTTCATGTAAAAAAAAATATAAATATAAATACTTTACAAAAAACAAGACAATCATATAATCATATATAATATATATTGAAATAAATAAATATATTAGTCTTTGATTATTACTTTTATATCTTCTGCCAAAATATCTGTCATTTTTGATGTTTGTTTAAAATTTAAATATTAATGTTAATATTAATATTATTTATTAATTAATATAAACAAAAGCTATTACTGGCCAATCAATTATGTTTAACCACGTGAGTATTTTTTGATCAAAAAATCGACCGTGTATAAGATTTTATGAATTGTAAAGTTCTACTACAATGAATCCACCACCTTATAAAGTAAATGTGATTGGTAAAAAAAATAATGCGTTTGTTTGGGATCCTGAAGGTAACGATTAATTATTTCGAGTTTAATATATTGTTATCATATAATTAAGTTTATTTACAACATATTTTAAAAAGTTGTCCAAATTCTTCGAAAAAATTATAGAATATTAGGATTTTTAGTTGGAAGTTTACCAAGATTGCCTTTACAAAATCAATTCCTAGGTTTACCCTTGAGATTGATGCCTGAAGAGACGACTTTATTATTATCTAAAGGTTTTTTTAAATAAAATTTAAATCAACCAACCATATAAATGTGTATATTGATTTTTTTGTTTTTAATTATAGGAATAATTGTTTTAATAGATGAAACAAAAAGTTATTGTAAGCCTACACCTGAACAAATTGAAGAATTTGAAAATGATAAATTAAAAAATGAAGATCAACAATTACAAAATTATATAAAAAATATTGAAGAGAAAAGAAATAAAATTAAAAATATTATTGATGATAATAATAATGATCATGATGATGATGATAATGATGATGATGATAATGATGATGACAATAATAATAGCAATAATAAGAGTAATGATGATAATAAAAGTAATAAGGGTGATATTGATGATGATGATGAGGTGGAGATGGAGGTGGAGAAAAAAAATTCAAAAATTAAAGGATTTTATCCAAAAATTAATATTAAAACATCTTCTAAATCATTGAAATGGTATAATGACGATGATAATAAATTTAAAACCTTGGAGTTGGCTAAACAGTCAAAAGTATGGACATGGCCAGAAACACCACAAGAAGAATATAAATATAAAATTTATTGTGATCTGTGGAATAAAGGATATTTTATTTCTAGTGGATTAAAATTTGGCGGTGATTATTTATTATATCCTGGTAAGTAAATTATATAATAATATAATAAAATTATTAGTATCATTATTCATTATTTTTATATTAGGTGACCCATTTAGATTTCACAGTCATTTTATAGCATTAGTGATGGAGACAAATAAATCAATAACACCATTGGATATTATAACATTTGGTAGATTGGCAACTAATGTAAAAAAATCATTTATGGTTTGTGGTTGGGATGAAAAGGAACAAAAATCAATTTATCATTGTATAGAATGGTCAGGATTTGGTTAATATTAATATTGGGACAATCTCCACTTGTATGTTATCAATAATAAAATATTTATTTCATTGATTAAATTTGAAATGAGTCATACATAGTTTTTATTCTTTGTAATGTAAAATTATCAAAAAAAAAAATATAAAAAATTGGACTTTATTGCTAATATTGTGAGTAGCAACAAAAGCAATAATAATATTTCAGAAATTTCAATTAAATTGTGTTGAATTATTTGAACATTGGCAAAAACAGAAAATTGACAATCCTGCAAAAACAAAACTATTTCACTAGTTGTTAATTATTTTCCAGGCCTTTGAATTAGGTTCAACTTTAACACATCATTGGGCTATTCAAGCATGTAGTGCTGTAACTGGTGAAAATATTTTCCGGAATGTTGAAGATAATAGCATCACATAATGCCACTGACAGAATTTCATACATTGATGGTTAGGATGTTAGATATAAGTATAATCATAAACATAGGGAAATCAAATAATAAAATCGATTAGTAAGGATTTTAATGTTTCTCTATAACGGCCCGCCTGATTTGGCAAAAAAAGGCCGTTATAGGAGAGTTTGCAGATCATAGTCATGTGATAAATTATAACAGATTTTTATTTTATATATTTAAAAAAATAAATGAAACTAAACTATTTATAATTTGCATACAGTCAGACCTCCATAAATGCATACCCTCCATAAATGCACACTCTCCATAAATGCACACCCTCCATAAATGCACACCCTCCATAAATGCACACTATGTCTTGGTCCCAACCTCAGGACTTAGTGATAAATGCACACCCTCCATACTCTGCACTGCACGGTATTTTTTCAGTCCCACTCATATGAAAACTCCCTCCATAAAT